GAAAAAATGCAAATTACACATCTGATAAGGCACTTCTATCAGAATATACAAAGTACTCATAACTCAATATAAAGAAACCCAACTGAAATATACCTGAAGAATTTGAATAGCCATTTCTTCAAGGAAAAACAAATGGCCAGTTAGCATCAGCAAGAAATGTAAATCAAAACCACAGTGAAATACTTCACACCCACTAGAATGACTATAAGGAAAAAGTCTAATGAACGGATTGGTGAGGATGCAGAGAAACTGGAACCCTCATACTTGTGGTGCAGCTACATTGGAAAACAGTCTGGCAGTTTCTCAAATGGTAAGAGCTTACCATAGGATCCAGCAATTCAATTAGGTATATACCTAAGAGAAATAAAAATATATGTCCATGCAAAAACTTGTTGATGAATATCATTAACCATAGTAACCAAAAGGTAGAAACACCAGAAATGTCCATCACTTGATGAATAGATAAGTAAAATGTGGCAATAAGTACCAACACATGCTACAACGTGCTTGAAAGCATTATGCTAAATGAAGGAAACCAGTTACAAAAATCATGTGTTTTAGGATTTCATTCATATGAAATGGTCCAGAATAGCCAAATTCATACATGGGAGTAAAGGACAGAGCAGAGGAGGTTGCTTAGGGCTGCGGTAGGAGTGTGGTAGTGGGGAACAGGGAGGTAAAAGCTAAATGTACTAGGTTTCACTTTGAAGAGGATGAAAATGTGAAAATGGTCTAAAATTGAGTAGTGACGGCTGCATATATCTGAACACATGAAACATCACTTTTTAAATGGGTTAATTGTGTGGTATATGATGTACCATCTCAATTTTTAAAAAAGTAGGTTTCTTCCTGTCTTTTTGTGACCATCAGGAGACTTCCCTCTTTCCATGGCATGATACTGAAGGCAAAGAAAAACTTGGAAGCCCTTTCCTTCTCTGTGCACCCTCCAATGTGCAGTCCCTTTCTCCATGTCCTATTGCTTCAGGAAAGCCCAGGTATTAGGAATTGTAGTTGGGAATTCAGCACTCACTCACTCTGCCCTAGTTTTGTGATTGGTGTTAAATGCACCTGTAGAGGTAGTCAGCATGCAGGAGGAACACTGAAGTGAGCCCAAAGATCAGAGACAGACTGCCATGGGTAAAAGAACATTTTGCAGGCCTGAGGAACACTGCTGAGAGCCAGAAATGAAGACTCCCATCACTAAAGAAGCCTTTCAGTGGCAGTGAAATGAGGCATACATCACAAGTCTTCACTCTAATTTTTCAGGTTTATATCTGCTCATCATACTCTCTCACCTCAGGAAAGATGTTTGTCTCAGGCCAGCTTCCGGAGATGCCTGTCATGTGTAGCAATCTACCGTTACCCAACAGAATGCAGACTGAATTGAGAGGCTTTAAAAACTTTTCTCAGGGCAAAACCAGAGAACTTTGAGCCTGGTTATCAGAAAAAGCAAAGTTCTGAAATCCTTTGAACTGTGGCAGGTAATTAAAAAAAAAATTAAAGGTGTAAATAGATTTTATTTTACATATTGTAGAGAGGAATGATATAATTAAGTGGCAAACCATGCTTACTGATAAGAATATAACTTATGAAAACAGGATGTTTTCTTTGTTAACAATTGTAAAATGACCAAATGCTTTTCTTTAAAACTTGTTCCAGGAAAATTTGCAATAAGAACATCCTTAGATGACTTGTTTTGAAGGACATAATGTGGTCATAAGCAATCCTCCAAATCTTTCCAAGATGCCTATGAAAAAGTCACTGAAGACCTTCTGGAATCCATGATCCTAAAGTTTTCATATCTATTAATGTGTTACAATACCATAAGGCAATTCTGTGACACTTTATCACAGTGGTTGCAAGTTTACATGGTTAGCAATTCTTACCCTATTTATTTGATACTATGTAGTTATTAGAAAGCTTTGTGCTATAATAATAATAGGGACTTTAGTCAAGATGAGGACATTTTGCCTTCTTGTGTAACCATAGAAAGAATTACAACTAGATCCAACAACTAAGGATTTAGAGAAGCCACCTTCATCCAGTCGGGTAGGAGGGGCACGGTCATGGAGACTGGCAGAAATGCAGTGTGGCGCAGAGAAGTGGCAGCAGCGGTGAAATGGACAGTCTCAAATTCACATATGGTGGATAAAAATCTGGAGTGAAACCTTGACAGTGTGCAATGCCACCCCAGGCCAGACCGCACAGCGCAGGGTTGGTGCGTCAGGAAGATAAATCCCTAACTTCTGGCTGTAAAAACCAGTGGGGGTTGGGGTGGCAAAAGAAACTGCTGGATCTTCAGACAACTCCATTTAAAGGACCTGCACAGACTTAGAACATCCCCAAACCCACCCATTCTGGGATTCACCACTAGGGCAATAGCTAGGAAGGGCGCCAGTTGCATAAGGGAAGTGGGTGAAGTGACTGGAAATGGGGTGAGTGACAGGCAAACCTGCAGAAGCCACGCAGTGGCTCTGTCCCCTCTCTGATCCCTCCCCCAGCACAGAGCCACAAAGTGAAGTGGGTTGCCCCACCCTGATGATTACCTAAGGCTCTGCCCCATACAATTAACAGGTGCCTTTTCTACAATAGGCCACACTACTAAGACACAGAGTTAAAGCAGCTCCACCTATACACAGAAACAAATACTAGGAGACTGCTAAATTGAGAAGGCAAAGAAATATGGCCCAAATGAAAGAACAGAACAAAACCCCAGAAAAAGAACTAAATCAAATGGAGATAAGCAACTTATTAGACGCAGAGTTTAAAACACTGGTGATCAGGATGCTCAAAGAACTCACTGAGTATGGCAACAATATAAAGGAGGAAATGAAGGTTACCCTCAGTGAAATAAAGAAAAATCTACAGGGAATAATCAGTGGAGGGGAGGAAGCCAGGATTCAAATCAGTGGTTTGGAACATAAGGAAGAAATAAGCATTCAACCAGAATAGAAAGAAGAAGCAAGAATTTTTTTTTTAAAAAAGGATAGTATAAAGAGCCTCTGGGACATTTCCAAATGTACCAACATTTGAATCATAGGGATGCCAGAAAGAGAAGAGGAAGAACAAGAAATTGAAACCTATTTTAAAAAATAATGAAGGAACTTCCTTAATTTAGTGAAGGAAACACATATAGTCCAGTAAGCACAGAGAGTCCAAAACAAGTTGGACTCAAAGAGGACCACGCCAAGACACATCATAATTAAAATGCCAAAGATTAAAGAGAGAATCTTAAAAGTAGCAAGAGAAAGCAGAGTGTTACTTGCATAGGAGTTCCCATAAGATTACCAGTTGATTTTTCAAAAGAAACTTTGCAGGCTAGAAGGCACTGGCAAGAAGTATTCAAAGTGATGCAAAATAAGGACCTACAACCTAGATTATTCTATCTAGCAAAACTATCATTTAAAATGGAAGGACAGATAAAGTGCTTCCCAGAAAAGGTAAAGCTAAAGGCATTCATTATCACCAAGCCATTATTACATGAAATGTTAAAGGGACTTATTTAAGAAAAAGAAGATCAAAACTATGAACATTAAAATGGCAATAATTTCACAACCATGAACTGAATCTAAAAAAAAAACCAAACCCAAACTAAGGAAAGCAGAACAGGAACAGTATCGTAGATATGGAGATCATTTGGAGAGTTATCAGCTGGGAGGGGGAAGGAAGAGAAGGGGGAGAAAGGTGCAGTGACTAAGAAGTATAATTGGTAGGTAGAAAATAGATGGGGAGGTTAAGAATACTATAGGAAATAGAGAAGCCCAAGAACCCATGCATGACCCATGGACATGAACTAAGGGGAGAATGCTGGAGGGAAGGGGGTACCAGGAGGAGGAGGGCAAAGGGAGAAAAATTGGGATACTTGTAATAGCATAATCATGATATATTTTTATAATAAAATATATTTAAAAAAGAATAATAGTGTATTTGTATTAGAAGGGGAAGCACAGATTTTTAAAATGCATAATTGGTTTATAGTTCAAATTTTTTTTAATGTAATATGGCTAATATCAGCTCATTTTCATGGAGTTAATGTAAAGATTAAAAGATAATTTATATAAAGTGCCTGAAACAGTACCTGATACATAAAAGCATAATGAATATTATTTCTCTTTGATTAAATAGTATTTGTGATAAAAAATTGAAAATCTGGCCTCTTTTTGTAATGTAGAACCTTTATACTATTTTTCCAGAAAATAACATTTGATATATTTTTATAATAACTTTTTCATGCAGAATATGGGCTAAAAAATCAGAGTAATTTATTCTCTATATCTATGGGTCTGTTTCTGTTTCATTCATTTATTTTGTTCTTGATATTTCATATATAAGTGAAATCATATTGGTCTTTTTCTGTCTGAATTATTTCAGAAAGAAATAATAGATGTGTCCATGTTGTCCCAAATAGTAAACTCCATTTTTTTTATGGCTGAGTGCTATTTCACTGTATGTATGTACCACATCTTTTTTATCCAATCATCTATTGATAGGCACTTAAGTTGCTTCCATTTCTTAGCTACTGTAAATAATGCTGCAATGAATACAGGGTGCATGTACCTTTCTGAATTAGTGTTTTGGATTTCTTCAGATAAATACCCAAAAGTAGAATTGCTGGGTCATAAGGTAGTTCTGTTTTTAATTTTTTGAGGAACCTATATAATGTTTTCCACAGTGGCTGTACCAATTTGCAATCCTGGAAGGTGAAAAAGTGAAGGTTTTAAGAAGTACAAATTGGTAGTTACAAAAATAGTCACAGGGACTTAAAGTATAGCTTAGGGAATATAGTCAATGATATAATAACTATACATGGTATCACATGGCGGATCACTTTCTAAATTATATAAATGTCTAATCACTCTGATGTATACCTGAAACTCATGTAAAATAACATTGAATGGCAACTGTAATGAAAAAATCAGAGTAATTTAAATTTTTCATAAATTTAAAACATAAAGTAAGGTTTAAAAACATGTTTTGTACCTTAGCATCTACTCTATTACCTTTATATCCTTTATTTTCTGCTTTTCAAAATTGTCAATAGTTTCCTCCAGGTGACGAGTTGTTCGGGTAGCATCCATCGTAGCTCTCTGTAATTCCGTTTCTGCCTACAGAAGTATTGCCCGACAAAAGATATGAAAAAAAAAAAAAAAAAGTAAGTCAGAATCCATTCATTTGAGTCTACTGGCTTTTTGGCATAACAGTGTAAATGTTTGATAATATTTTTGCCATATAAAATAGAATGATCTATATTACAAGCACATGCAGAATAAAGAATGTTAAATCTATTAAGTGGCATGACTCAAGATCTCAAACAAAAGAAAACAAAACTCCTCCCTTTCCTTCTACAAAATCATTTTTTCCCTACATCACCCTTGGATGATTTACTATAAAAACAATTGTCTTTATTTTTCTACTGCTTTCACCTATTTCACTGTCTGTGCCATTTATCATTCTTTTTCCCACTTATCATTTCTCTCCCCTTTAACCCTATCTCCTCCCAAAATAAAGGGCCTGTGATTTAAGTATTTTCAAATTTCTAGTTCTTCAAATGCATTCAATGTTTCTAATTCTGTAACATGTAGAGTGGAATATACACTACAAATATTTATTTCAGCATCAAGTTTCTGTTTGTATATTATAAGCTAACAATAGTACTTTTACTATTTAGTTAATACTTATTACAAGACATATATATATACTAGTAACTACTAAATTAGATGACAAGTCTAATACTTCATGTACTCTAATAAGTACTCATACTATCTAGCCACATGTGGCTATTCATTGTTAAATTAATTAAATGCAAATTTAAAATCTAGTTTCTCAGTTACTCTAGTCACATTTCAAGAGCTCAATAGCCATATACAGTTAGTGGCTACAGTACTGTACAATGAAGAACATTTCCAATTTAATCATGCATTTCTTTTAAAAAAGCAAGTCTTTCTTTAGGACAATAGTTAACCAAAAATATTTGTTTTTTTTTAAACAGTAACAGATTTTAAAAGTCCAATGTTCAGATTCACTTCTTTCTAATAAAGTTTTAAGTCCTATGCTAGTACTATATTTCCTCAAAAGTATCACACATCATCATTTAATAGTAATCCATGGGAAAAATTTGCATTTGTCATCAATGTATTTGACACATAATATTCTGACATTTAGCCCTTGCTTTCTTTTTCAAGAAAATATATAAATTGAAATAAGTAAAATGGTTTACTCTAAGGATCCATCTTGACACACCACTTTATTACCCACCTGTGACTGAAATTCTTCATAAAGGAAAAATCCATTTCAAAGAGAACAATTTTTTTCAATAAATTAAAATCATGTACTCTTACAATTAAATTATACATTAATTATAATTGTATACTGAGTATACACTCTGACAATTGGGTTAATTCAAGCACAATTTCAAGATACTAAGTATTTAAAAATACTCTGTGTGTGTGTATATATATTAAGTTTTCCATAAAAGGTATAAAGTTTTTAAAAACCATATAAACATTTAACTTTAATCATACCTAGTAATCAAAAACAATTCTCTATATTACTGGGCTGGGGATTTTTAAAAAATATAATTTCATAGGAAATCCAAAAGTAAAATAGAGCTTCTTTGAAGATCCATTAACATGGAAAAATTTCTTAGTTATTTGATGCATGTTAACCTTTTATGACTAATGAGAGTTTCAAGCAGACTAATTTTTCTTAAAAAAAAAAAAAGATTTAGAGAGAGGAGAAGGGAGGGAGAAAGAAAGGTAGAGAAACATTGATTGGCTGCCTCTTGCATGCCCCATCTGGGGACCTGGTCCACAACCCAGGCACGCGCCCTGACCAGGAATCGAACTAATGGCCTTCCAGTTTGCAGGCCGGCACTCAATCCACTAAGCTACACTGGCCAGGGCCAGATTCTTTCTTAACACTGTTCATTACATGCGACTTATGCAATTCTTTACTTGTGAATATTTTCTTTTGACTTTTATATCTTTCTCCTCACCATTTATCAATAGGTTCATTTTAAATTTCAGAAGGGTAGGCAAATTTGGCTAAATGAGGAACAAATGGGGAAACAGAGCGCTAGCTGGAGCGTAGGTATCTTAATTTACCACCCTCCAAAAACTACTCTTCCTTTCTTAAAGTCTCAAATCCTTTTATTCCAGCATAGCATCTTGCCCAAAGTTACACAGCTATTTTTAACAAAGTGGGTATAGATTTGTTTTTTCCCTTTGTTGAAGATTCTATAATGTACCGATTTGAGTAGGAAATGGTTTTGATTAAAATACTGCATGACTTTATGAGTATCAGTGTATTTAATAGAAGTACTCATGAGTGCAAAATGCCTTACAAAAGGGTGAGCCAGATTGATGTTTTTCCAATTATGTTATAGGCAGCTTGTTCAGAAGCCACCAGGGGTTTTGGGGGTCAGCAGGCAGAAACCCTGGGATTCTTCTCTGCCTTATCCTCTTGTACCAGAACTACTCCATTTTATTTTTACTGTACTTTGCCATGTGTAATGTGCGCCCATGTTTTTGGTCCAAACTTTCAGGAAAAAAATCTTTTGTTTTAATTTTTAAACTCAATTTATTTATATTTAGAAGCAAAACTGATAATCATATTCCAGGGTATTATTTTGCATGTGGATATTGTTATTGCTTTCTAGAGTTAGACTTTTAACACATAAGCATAAATAAGAGAATTAAAAACATTTATATAGATATGGAATTAGTACTACCCATATAGAATGCACGTCCTATGCTAATTCTATGCTAAGTCATGCTATGATAGAATATATTTATATCAAATTCATTTATATGTAGATTATACTTTATTTTCTTGTCCTGGGTTGTCAAAATCCATCGGATTCAGATTTTTCTTCCCAGTGAGCACAGCAATTCACCTATAGCAATAAGCTATTCAGTTGTTGCATTTTTCTCCCCATATAAATCTGCAGACCTGCTTCCTCCATAGCAGTGTTTAGAAAATGGCATCTAAGTTATCTTTCTAACATCTTTGTTTTAGGAATAGATTCATTTCTGTGTTGAGTGTCAATACTAATACCCTTCACTCAACTTTGCCAACCACTCAGATTCCAGATGTGACCTTTTTTCCTGCTTTTATGTACTCTTGTATAAACAAAACAATAGAAACTTTACCTCTGGCTTAATTCTCAAAAGCTAGTGACATTCCTTGGTGTCTCCCTTAGTCCCTATTTGTCAGTCATAAATTTTCCATCATTCTCTGGTTTGTCTGACTGACTTAAAACCTAGACTTTATAATCTCCAGTTTGTAGATCTTAACTCTCAAGTACTGTTTAGATGTTCCTGTTCCAGCCCTGTGGCTGCCCTTTTTTTTTTTTTTTTTTAAATTACAAGGTTGGGCGTTATGTACCTTTGGTCCACAGGAAGGAGGACCAGGCAATTGGCGCAGCCCCATATCACTGCTCAAGGGGTTCACCTCAGGAATGGAGGTGTTCTGGAACCTCAAATGCCCCCAAAGAGCCACTCCTCATGTGCTTTCTGGCTGAGCTGGGCAGTAAAAACCTTAAAGAAGTAGGAAGGAGACATAAAGGAATGGGAAAAAGAGGCAGTGGGATAAGTTAGTACTTTCAATACAACTGCACCTATCCCAGGTGCTGGCAGTTAGCCACGGCACTATTTTCTGTTCTTTTGTTTAGCGAAGAACAAGGCACAATCCACTTTGAGAAAACAGTTATTCTTAATAGAAGAACTTCGTTACTTTACAGTAGACACTCCTACCTAAATCACTTAGTGTCCAGCTGTGGATCAATTATACTCTTGAGTCTCCTCAAGGTTTTGGCTGAAGTTGTAATTATGGTTTCACATCGTGTTTTTTTGTCTGTTTTAAGATAAAGGCAATTATACTGGCAAATAAAATTTTCCTTCCTGTTCTCAAAAGCAGGACAGATGGTAATTGCTAAATTATAATTAATGATAGATCTTTAATTTTATAATTAATACTTAGTTATCATGTGAAACAAATCTCATAATTTTGAACTTACTCTTTATAAAAACACCTACATTTATGACTGTTTTATTTTTCAAATACATATTGTGAAAAACAACATAAGGGGAGCAAATTAAGTGGTGTATTTTCTTTAAAGTTTTCCTAATTCTACAGTGAGAATTCATAAATGCATATTTCTTTTCAAACTCTATATTCAAATTCTCTGCATGTTTAGAAGTAGAAATGCATAATTTCCATATATATTTACTTTTGTACTGCATACCTTACAAAATATTTTTTGAACGACTAGAATTCAAAGGATACAATAACATGTCGGTCAGATGGGTTTCGCTGACGTGTTCTTTCTAACTGAGTTAACTGTTTAGCTTCTCGGTTCCTTGCTGTTAATGTTGCTTTGAGGTCATCCTGCAAATAGGCATTTTTTTGTTAATAATAATCTGTGATTTTAGAAATAAAACATACTCTGTTTTAAGAATGGGAGAATCATCTTGTTCAATCTGGGCATCATTGCCACTGGAATTATGACTGTGTCATCAGTGTGTATCTCTGTGTGAGAGTGCACACATGTGTTTCTTTAATATCCTCTCAAAAATAACGACATAGACAAGATAATTTCAATGTAAAACTAATAACCATGTAAAACCACATATATACAATTGTATAGGTATATAAACAATTTTGATTGTGGTGGTAGTTACATGTATACATACATTTGTCAAAATTCAATGAAGACTTAAAATGGGACAGTTTCATCACATGTAAATTATACCTCAATAAAATTGATGTAAAAAACAGAACTTTGAGAATGTAATGTATAGCATGGTGACTATACTTAACAGCACTGCATTGCACATTTGAAAGTTGCAAAGGGAGTAAGTAGATCTTAAAGCCCTATTCACAAAAAAAGTTTCTGTAACTGTGTGGTGACAGATGTTAACTAGACTTACTGTGGGGATTATTTCACAATATCTATAATATCAAATCATTATGTTGTATGCTTAAAACTAATATGTCAATATACCTCAACTAAAAAATAAAACTTTGTCACACTCATTTTTCATTTGTTATTATTTGCTTTAAAACAAAAATATAAACTTACATTTATTTAGTAAAATAATTTCTGTTCATATATTCTTCATGACTGTAAGTATTAAAAGTGTCCACAATAAACAAAATGATGCTTTATACTTAGTAAGCTCACTAAAAATATTTCATTATTCTCAAAGTTCTAGGAAATGATGACTCTTCAGAATGTGTAAAAAAAATGAAAAAACACTACTTTGTACTTTTCATTAAAAGAACATTTTTAGAAACCGTATACTCTAGAATACTTAATAATAACAACAGAAAAATAATGAATTGACTTACTCGTTTCATTTTTACAATGGTTCCATAAGCTTTCAATGGTTCAACTACTTTGGCTTCAAGTCTTTCAACCTATTGAAAATTATTATAAAATATAACTGAAAAGAAACACAGATCAAAATTTTAATTCTGAAATAAGAGATGTGATGTTTAAACATATTACACAGAATAATTAAAAAAATTTTAAATTAAAATTTCACAGTTCAACTTATCTTCAATAATCACCACAATTACTTAAGGTATAGCATCTAAACTTAAGCACATTAAAAACTGTTAAGCTTTTCAGTAACAAAACAGAAAAGACCTGGTACCCATTATGACAAGAAAATGTCTCAGGTTTCCAAAGAGCTCATCCTTACCATACCATCACCTCTGTATTACATTGTATCTCAAAGATGGAGCTTTTGGCTAAATTTTAAGGCATCTCAACTTTTAATAGTTATCTCTTTGAGTGTGTTTAGCTCAGTGTTGGATACTTTGAGTATATATTCTCCAAAATTAATAGCTCAACCTTCCAGACAAGAAAAGCAAAGCTGAAAGATACAGAATGTGGGAAATATTTAAAGCAACACAATCCTCAAAAGTCAAGAATGCTTGGAGACCACTGTATCAGCTGCATTTTTTTTTCTAGGAAGCCATTCGTAAATTATCAAAGCATAGAGAACAAGATAAAAGGTCTCAAGTGTTCCAGAGCTGTCAAACTGTATAGTTGTACTCTCTTAGAAGTAAACAGTTTTTCTGAAACATTACAATTTTTTACCACATATTGGGTAATTCTTTTACTAACAGCACTAGTGGAAAACACTGAAGCAAAAAGGAAAGTACATAGCATAAGAAAAATAACTCTTGAACATTAAAATATTTTTCAGGATAGATAATACAAGATGACATGTATTTAAATATTTAAGAAGAATATGGATTATTTTTGTAGCAGGAAAAGGGCTTTTTTGATAATACATGTTTAATCAGTGAGTACATTTCATATTTATTTATTTTTAAATAAAATGTATCTGAATGTTTCATTTTAAAAGATTTTAGGAAAAACAAAGAAAATCAGGTTCTCATTGAGTATGTAAATATTAGGAATCCTAAAGTAAAAACCATCAATATTCAGGATAGTTTAGTCTATACCATTTTGAATAATCCATACACTGATTACTCAGTATAGGATTATCCAAGTCTTTTTTTCTGTTCTCCTTTTTGTTGCCTACCTTTTGGTCATTGTTCATTAGCACTTCCACCATTTGGTAAGCAAGGGAAATAAAAAGGAGAACAAATGTGAATCAATTCACTTTGTTCTTTGATAAATAGCATAAAGATTTTCTGAAAGGGACATTGAAATGATTGACTAACATAGAATTTTAGGATTACCTGTGAACAAACATGATTTCTGAAATAGTCACCAGTTATGTTTAACTGAAAGTTGTTTATTACAGAAGAAATACATGACTAAAGTTTTCTAAAAAGTACACCCAAATGTAATTACTGCTCAAATTTCTGTATGAATAGCAATTATAGGTTCAAAGATCATTATAGTCTTTTTTTTTTTTTTTTTAATAATTGAGCCTTCTGTTTTAGGCTTTAGGGGAAAAAAAAAGACCAAAGCACTGATGAGAAAAGTGCCAAAAGAGCAATGCAGCTAATTTGGGCAACTTCTGACAAGTTAACCTGTGTCTTAAAACCTAAAATAAATATAAGTGAAAGTGCTTATGAGTCATTAAAGGAAAAAATGGGCTTTTGGAACAAAAACAATGACAACCAACTTCCCTCTCCCCCACCAGCAAAAAAAAAGTCTCTACAGTTTCACTACTTGCTAGCATCCACAATATAACTCGGTGCTTATTCCCCTCCCTGCCCCCACAAACTTCCCCCAGCATGGAAGCAGCAAGGATCTTTTGTCCATTTATGACTTATTCACTCACACCACCATTCCCAACATCCTCCATCTCCAGACATGTTTTATACTTACCTGGCCACAAGGCACAAGTCATGCTCCTTTTCTTTCTCATGGGCACTATGTTTAAGACCCCCTGTAATAGCCACCCCTTGGCCAAAAGTTGGAAAATGAAATGGGAAAATTCAAGACACCCTGAAGTTTTAGTTTGAAAACGGTAAAATCACAGGAAGCTTCCCTTTAATAGACTCACACAATGTTACAGACATAAAAAGGTAGGTTTATCATCAAGTGCACGTTCACCACTGAAGATTACAAGTGAGTCTTCATGTTTCCTTCATCCACTACTTCAGGCCTCATTCATAACAATGACGGTGTGACCTCACGCCATACCTCTGCTTGTCGATAATCCTGAAGTTTGGCAAACTCATCAGCAAAGTTTTTCAGGCCCTGCTTTAAATTTGGGGTCTCTGTAGAGGCATACACGTTTATTTCATTCACCAGGAGGTCTGCTTTGTCTCGCAGTCTGGCAGTTTTCCGCACATAAGCAGCAAATATTTGGCACAGCTCTCCAAAATGCTTCTCCACATTTGTGACAGCATTTTGCAGTTGTCTGGTTTGAGCGTCCCTAGAGAAAAAGATGACACAAAAAATCTAATCATTCTTATTAGGGACAAGATGGCTTCATCTCCACGTTAAATTTATATGCAGATATTCCCCAGACGTTTTGCAGTTTCTCCTGAGGCCGATTCCCTTTCCCCTAGGTCCCCATTCGGGCCCAGCCTTAACATCCCCACAGGGAAAGCGCACGAAGAGGCCCGGCTCCTGCCGCCACGTTGCTACAGGCTGGAGGCTGCTAGGGCTGCTCAGCCCGGTCGCCCGGCTGCTACCCCGGGGCTCACCGCAGCCCAGGGAGGTAGGCCTAGGCCCCACAGTGCAGCGGGAAGGGCCCAGCCGCTGAGGCCGAATTCGGGGCGGAGGCCCCACCAAGAGAGATTCCACTTCTCCCCTTACCAAGCCCTAGCGTGTGGGGCACCTTGGGCAGCGGGGCCCCGGGGCTGTTACCGGTTTTCCAAGCTGCGCCTCAACATCTTGCCTCGCGCACCACCGAGACCCTGGACTGGGGTCCAACGACCAGGCTCCGCGGGGCCCGGGCTTGCGCAGGGGCGGGAACCGCCGCTGCCGGAGCCCGGGAGCCCGCCCCGCGCGCCGCCGCGCTTTCCCGGAGTTTCTACGGCAACGCGGCGCGCGCCCCCGCGGCCAATGCTGTAGTTGGCCAGAGTGCAGCCAGGGCGTCCGGAGGTCCGAGCGGTACCGTCCAGCGAGGGGCCGCAGCGTTCACCTCTGAGCTACTCAGCGCACCTCGCGCATCTGCTCCTCAAGGATTCCATCCCCGCTGCTGGGCCTTTCATCCTGGTGGAGTGCTGCACGGAGCTAGCGCCCTACTCCAGTACGTGCAGGCTGGACAAGGAGCAAAGGAAGAAAATTCCAAACCAACCCACCAGAAACGCAAAACTGAAGGCCAATGCGGGGGGGCGGGCGAGGTCCAGTCTCTGCTTATGAGACATTTAATCTTAGAACATAGGTTCGTTCACCTTGTCCGAGTCTCCGTGTCGAATCTGAAAGTGTGGCCCATGGAGGATGCGTTTGGAAGGAGCAGGGCTGGCCGCCTCATCTTTAACTTTATTCCGCAAATATTTATTGAGCTCCTATTTTGTGGAAAAAAATTGCTTTGGACCCGGGGAATAATGAAAAGATAATAAGACCCATTCCCCCTCAGGAGACAGACACTTAAACCATAACAATAACTTGAGATATGTAACAAACAGGAGACTTTTCTTTAATCACCCATGCTCTTGGCTTCTTGGCCTTGTCTGTGCTACTCTTCCAAGTAAACACCTTTTAGGACTATTCACGCTTTCTCTTTCAAGAAATCTCCCCAGACAACTCCCCCACTTCCCTCTTCCAGACAGCCACGGAGCCCCTCCCTGCGCAGTGTATTCTGTGTTTTGTACTGTCTTCTGTAGTCTGGACTTGGAGGCAGAGGAAATGGAATTTTAATCTTATACTCCTCAGCATATTGTACTGCTCAAAGTTTGTTTTGGACCAGTGTGTGTCTCCAGTCTTGTTCCCTCTTTTAGAGAAGTCCTCTTATTTTCTCATGTTATAATGTATACCTTTCTTCTCCCCTTCTATTCATTCAGCAATTTGTCTATTGCATTCCTAATGAATTCCAGATATTATGCCTGGCCCTGAGCGTGGAGTGGTGATCTAACATCAGAAGAGTCTTTGCTTTTATAGAGCTCAGTCTCTCTGAGGAATAGACACTAGTCAAACACATGTGTGAAACTGCATATGAGGTATGTGCTACTGTATCAACTTTTACTGTATAACAGACCATCGTAAAACTTTGTGGCATACAACAGCCGTTTAGCTAACTCAGGATTCTCTGAGCGGGTTGGGTGGTTCTTCTATTATACTTTGGTTCTGCTCAGCTGGGCTCTTTCATACCTTTTTGGTCAGTTGGTAGGTCTGCTGCTGGCTAGATGAGCTAGGATGGCCTCACTCAGAGATGCAAGAGAGGCAACATATTAGTGGCCACTTTTGCAACATAACACGGGTAGTAAGGAAACATGGCACCGAGAGAACATGGACTTAATACAGAAGTTTAGTTTGAGCTGCATGGTTGGGGAAAGGACTTCATTGAGAAAGTGACAGTTGAGCTGAGATCCAAAGACTGGGAAGGGGTTAACTTAGTGAAGAGAGGGAAAAACAGTCCAAAGAGTGGGTGAGTGTAGGCAAATCGCCCTCCCCTGACCCCATTCTTAGCTCTACAACTTCTGCTTCCCAGAATACGGTACCAGCCTCCAGCTGATTATTCAAGTCAAAAATCTAGGAGACATTCTTTACCCCAGGTACACTGGCTATTCTTGCTTATTGCACCTCCAAAAAGAAACATCCTTGATCATTCCTTCTTCCTCTATTTTCCTTTTTTTCCCCTTCTTCATTTCTTCTACATTACCATAATCTAAGCTAATATCGTCATTCACCTTTATTACAGATCTTTTCACTGGTCTCTCCATGTCCACAGTTACACACTGAAATGCAAAATAAAAAATGTAGATCAGTTCATGCCAACATTTCAAAGCCTCTGATGACTGATCAGAATGTTTGTGTCTCCCCCAAATTCATATGTTAGAATCCGAACCCCAAAGATGATGGTATGAGGAGGTAGAGCCTTTGAAGGTACTTAAATCATGAGAGCGGAGCCCTCATGAATGGGATTAATGTTCTTGTAAATAGAGACCCCAGAGAGCTCCCTAGCTCCTACCCTGTTACACTAAAAAGGTGGCCACGGAAGAGAACTGATGGCCACCAAAGAGGACGAGGCTCTTACCAAACACTGACTTTCTCAGCACAATGATCTTGGACTCCAGAGCCTTCAGAACTGTGAGAAATAAATTTCTGTTTTCTATAAGCCACCCAGTTTATGGTATTTTTGTTATAGCAACTCACATGAACTGAGTATATTTAAAATAAAAACTTAAATTCTTATTCTGGCTATGAAGGATCTGCCTCATTCTTGCCTACCCATCTGTGTTCTCTCACCACCACACTGTGACATAGCTACGATATCTTTCTTTCCTTTCCTTTCTTTCCTTCCTTTTCTAGCACATTTCAGACTCAGTTTTGTGTTTATTGTTCTCTCTGCCTAGAGCACACCTTTCATAGAGCATCATATAACAGCTAACCCCTTCTCATCACACAGAATTCTGCTTAAAAGGTAGCTACAGAGTGAGCCTTTCTCTGATCACCTACTTACTGCCAAAGCTACTGTTTTTTGTTTCCTCTGAAGCACAGGTAATGCTCTTAAATTAAATTATTTGTTTATATGCTATTTCTGTTGCCCATGACTAGAATATATTCCTCATGAGACTAGGCACTTTGCTATCTTGTTCACAGATAATAATACTCCTCACGCCACCACAGTCCTTGTCTCATAGTAGGAACTCAATAATTAGTTGAGTTTGTCGGTGAATATATGAGTTAGTGAATGAAAACCCCATGGCAGAGGAGCATGGCGTGTGCGAGAAAACCAGTGAGGCTGGAGAGGAGGAGGCGGGTGTCATGACATGCGATATAGCTGGAGGGGGAGGTAGGGGTCAGGTCACATAGGGCATTTTGACCATGCTAAGGAATTTGGTCAGAGTTCTCCAGAGAAACAGGGCCAGTAGAAACAAAACTAGTTTTATTATAAAGAATTGGCTCATGTGAGCATGGAGGCTAAATCCCAATGTATGGAATGTATGCACTCAGCAAGCTGGAGACCTAGGAAAGCTGATGGTACAAATGCCAGTCTAAAAACTGGCAGGCTCAAGACGCAAGAAGAACTGATCTTTATGGCTGAGTCTGAAGTCTGGGAAAAAAATAAAAAAACAATATCCCAGCTTACACAGTCAGGCAGGAGGACGTTCCTCTCCTTCCTTTACCTTTTTGTTTTGATCAGGTCTTCAGTTGCCTTGCTGAGCCTCACTCACTTTAGGGAGGGCAATCTGTTTTATTCAGTCTACCAATTCAAATGGTAATCTCATGCAGAAACACCCTCACAAACACTCTTAGAATAGTGTTCAGGGCAAAACTCTGGACATCTTGTGGCCCGATTAAGTTGATACAAATTGAACATCATAGTCCTTATCTTAGTATCAATGTGTATGTGTTTGAGCAAGTCATGTAACTCTTACATCTTTCAGCAAATGCCCTCATGTATTGGATTAGTTATTGTTGAATAAATATATATTGAATTGCATTTTTTCAATCTCAAACAAATATATGAAATGAATGTGTTCTAGAAACCCTTCTTGTGAGATCTGGGCTCTTTGACCTGACATTTTAAAGCATGTATCAGCACAACTGTTCTCAAGCCTTTTCACTGCTGCTTTCTGCTAGGTCACATCATGTCAGAGAAGAGGAGCTGCGAATGGGAAGACCAAGTCCCTTGGCCAATGTCCTAGGGGGGCTGGCCTTAAATTTTTGTCTTCCCTCTCCAGTGTTCTTTCCACTATATCAGGATCAATCTTTCTCTCCCTTTTCTCTTTCTCTGACTCCTTCTCTCTTCTTCTCTACCATTTTGATGTTTTGTAAAGTTCTTTTTTTATTTTTTAAAATATATTTTATTGATTATGCTATTACAGTTGTCCCATTTTCCCCACTTCACTCCCCTCCACCCTGTATACCCTCTCCCACCCATATCCCCCACTTTAGTCATGTCCACTGTGTCATACTTATAAGTTGTTTAGCTTCTACATTTCCCATACTATTCTTACCCTCCCCCTATCTATTTTCAACCTACAAGCTATACTACTTATTCTCTGTACCTTTTTCCCCTCTCTCCTCCTCCCACTCCCCTGTTGCTAACCCTCCATGTGATCTCCATTTCTGTGGTTCTGTTCCTGTTCTGGTTGTTTGCTTAGTTTCTTTTGGTTTTGCTTTAGGTGTGGTTGTTAATAATTGTGAGTTTGCTGTCCTTTTACTATACATGTTTTTTTTAATCTTCTTTTCTTAGATAAGTCCCTTTAACGTTTCATAAAATAAGGGCTTGGTGATGATGAACTCTTTTAACTTGACCTTATCTAAGAAGCACTTTATCTGCCCTTCTATTCTAAATGAAAGCTTTGCTGGATAGAGCAATCTGGGATGTAGGTCCTTGTCTTTCATGACTTGGAATACTTCTTTCCAGCCCCTTCTTGCCTGTAAGGTCTCTTTTGAGAAATCAGCTGACAGTCTGGTGGGAACTCCTTTGTAGGTGACTGTCCCCTTATCTCTTGCTGCTTCTAGGATTCTCTCCTTCATTTTTACCTTGGCTAATGTAATTATGATGTGCCTTGGTGTGTTTCTTCTTGGGTCCAACTTCTTTGGGGCTTTCTGAGCTTCCTGAATTTCCTGGAAGTCTATTTCCTTTGCCAGAATGGGGAAGTTCTCCTTTATTATTTGTTCAAATACGTGTTCAATCTGTTGCTTTTCCTCTTCCCCTTCTGGTACCCCTATAATTTGGATGTTGGAATGTTTAAAGATGTCCTGGAGGTTCCTAAGCTTCTCCTCATTTTTTTTGAATTCTTATTTCTCCATTCTTTCCTGTTTGGTTGTTTTTTTTCTTCCTTCTGGTCCACTCTATTGTTTTGAGTCCCAGTTTCCTTCCCATCACTATTGGTTCTCCATGCATGT